CATTTTTAAATACAATTTTTTGGATATAAATTTTTTAAATTCCGAAAACGAATTTTTTTTTCAAAAAATTATTGAACTAATTTGGATTTACACACAAAAATTTGAAAATTTGTTTTGTGTTTCAAGAACGCATTTTAATTAAATTAGTAAAAAAAAGTGGTGGCGGGACAACTTTTTTTCAATCTTGATAAATGGGGAAATCAGCATTCCCATCTCCAAATTTGTCGTCGAAGATGTCGTTCGCCTCCAAAAATAGCGCCGATCGCCATTAATAATCCCGCGTTGGAGCCACACATCCGCCATAAATGGGAATTCCCCAATTATAGGGCTCCCATTGAACTTGGCCTTAAGATATGTAAGTGATTAAAGTGAATTAGGTGAGTGTTGATGCCAAAGCCATGAAAAGAAAAGTTGATTTTTATTAGTAATCGATGATTACCACACCAAGCAAAACATATGTTGAATGCAATGAACCTAGTTTGTTTTACATCGTAGGTTGGATTCCATTACCTAGTTTGTTTTCACTTATTGTTTTGGGATCGCTAATTGTCGTCCTAGTTTTTTACTATAATAGTAATAACTTAAAAATTAAAGTTACTTTTTTATCCTCTTCTCTTCTATTGTTGATTTTTTATTTATTCTAATGTGCGCATCTTCCCCTGCCAATTCGTCCACGCCCTATGGCATACAACTTAAGAGTCCCCCAATTAGGCTCTTCCCTCCCCTCCAATCCAACGATTTGCTGGTTGGGTTTACTATGAAAGGAATGAATCTGCGTAATTTAAGCTATTATAATTATAACCTTTCAAGTGTGTTGAAATAACCAACCAGGTGAACATTTTGGTTTTAGAGGCGATTTGTTTTATTGAATTTGGTTAAATTAACAAAGGATAATGTAACATTTTTACATTTTAAACTAGGATGATAATAGTAAATTTAAAGAGATATTTAGCGGTCCAACTTATTTAACCCCATGACAAACACAACTTTTTTTGTAGCTATATTCTTTCCTCCATGGTTTTCTTATACATTAGTTCCCCGAGTCGAAAATCCTAATCCCGAGTAGTAGCTCAAATTCGTTTGTGTTGCAACTTCTTGTTTCCCGAATATAGGTTCGATTCCTTGCTCAGATCCACAAATTGGGTTGTCAAGGTTGGGGGTATATCATATAATATGTCTCGAATTATATCATCATTTGTCGTGCAGTTTGTTGTGCATAGCATTTGGTTGTTCATTTTTCATAGTTTTTCTTATTGATTCCTCTCATTTTGTTTTTGTTTTTTTTTACACTTTGATGTGCTTGCTCCATGTTCTAAATGTCTATATGTGGCACAATCGCGGAAATCAACTGGGAGCAAAATTATTTGAGCAAGTTATCTCCACTATAAAAACTTTCATGCACATAATCAATCATTCAATCCATTTTCATACAACATTGAATCGAGCCCATTATTATCAAGAGGAGGCACATCAGCTGGATTTTTTAACCGAAACCCCGAAAATTATGATCGGATTTCAACGCGAAAGTCAATCTTAGGAGAGTTGCATTGTGCATCAATCCCACACATGAAAAGATGGCTGCCGTCGGACGGTGAATGCATCTTCAATTCCGCCGTGTACCTCCGAGCCGCCGTCGGTAACCGGACTACTACATATTTGAAGAAGTTGCAACTCAAATTCCGCATCGGGAAAGGAATCCAACCCTGGAAATGAATGAAAGTAAAATAAATAGAAATGTGTAAATTAAAATAAGAGAAGGGGCGAAAAGGGAAAGTGGAGAATACGGCAAATTAAGGTACAACACGTAGGGCACGTCAGCCTTTGAATGGTGCTGTAGCTCGGCGATTTGACTGCTGCTGCTCTGCTCTGCTCGCCCTTCCTTCCTTCTTTCTCTTCATTAATTATATGCTGTTGCTGTCTGTGCGATACAACTTTTGTGCAAAATTCTCTCTCTCTGCAATCTCTGGCCTGCTGTTGCCCATCATAGTCAATAGGGTACGTTGATAGGTCCACTCCAAACTGCAGCAGCATAATGAGAAGCAGCAGCAGCAGAAACCACAGCCAGAATGTATTCATTTCATTCCTTCTTTCCCACTGAACTGAATTTATCTCTCTCTGTTACAAAAGGAAAGAATAATGAGAGGTGTAAAGAAGAGAAGAAGAAAAAAGGGATGTTAGAAGCTAATTAATTAAGTAGGGGATGGTGTTATACCCAAAACGATTCTGCTTCTGCCAAATCTCCCTCCCTAGCTAGCTATTTCATTTCAGACCACATTTATTTATGCTGCTGCTCATCCTGCTGCCGAAATGAGGTTACTAAACGAGATTTGGCAGAAGCACATTTGTTTTCGTAGCAGAGGATGTGATGTGTTTGTAACTCTGTATCCATGCAAGTTCTGTTGAGAACAGAGAGGCATGCACTGTATTAAAAAAAAATGTATAAACGAGAAAATTATTATTCGTTAAATACTAAATAGTGAGTATTCCTCGGAAAAAATCCAAAAGTACCACTGTTTAAAAAAAAAATTCCAAAAATACCACTCAACCCCAAAAAATTCCAAAAATACCACCCTTTTTCAAGAACCGCCACCCAACCCAGCGGTTTGGTCGAAAACCGCTTGTCCGGGGCGCGGTTTTGGACCAAACCGCGGGCCTAGGGGGCGGTTATAAAAAAAAAAAAAATTTGGACCAAAACCGCTGGGTGGGGCGGCGGTTTGGCCCAAAACCGCCACCCCAACCAGCGGTTTGGTCCAAAAGTTCGGTCGAAACTTCAAACGAACGTAACTTTGCACTCGGGTATCCGATCGTAGTGATTTTTTTTTTCATTTCGCATAACTTTTCAAGATCTACAACTTTTACTAGGATAAAATTTTCAAAAAAGGAACTATTTGTGGATATACGGGACCTTGAGAATAACTTTACCTTTACTTTTCAGAAATCCATGTATATTTTGAAATTATGATTATATTAAAAGTTGTAGATCTTGAAAAGTTATGCGGAATCAAAAAAAAGTTCATAACATTCAGAGTTTGGAGCACAAAGTTATGGCCGCCCAAAGTTTGACGAAAGGCGAGACCCGGCGGTTTGCGGCTTGCAAGATCTCAAAAAGTTTGCGGCCTCCATTTTTTGAATCCGAATAACTTTTTGAGATCTTGCAAGTCTCAAACAGTCGGGTTCCGTCTTCGTCTCGGAAAAACGTCATTTGCCACCCCGAACGACCTTTTTTTATTTCGTCAAATTTTGGGCGGCCATAACTTTGTGCTCCAAAATCCGAATGTTATGAAATTTTTTTTTATTCCGCATAACTTTTCAAGATCTACAACTTTTAATATAATCATAATTTCAAAATGTACATGGATTTCTGAAAAGTAAAGGTAAAGTTATTCTCAAGGTCCCGTATATCCACAAATAGTTCCTGTTTTGAAAATTTCATCCTAGTAAAAGTTGTAGATCTTGAAAAGTTATGCGAAATGAAAAAAAATATCGCTACGATCGGATACCCGAGTGCAAAGTTACGTTCGTTTGAAGTTTCGACCAAACTTTTGGACCAAACCGCTGGTTGGGGTGGCGGTTTTGGGCCAAACCGCCGCCCCACCCAGCGGTTTTGGTCCAAATTTTTTTTTTTTTATAACCGCCCCTTAGGCCCGCGGTTTGGTCCAAAACCGCGCCCCCGACAAGCGGTTTTCGACCAAACCGCTGGGTGGGGTGGCGGTTTTTGAAAAAGGGTGGTATTTTTGGAATTTTTTGGGTTTGGGTGGTATTTTTGGAATTTTTTTTTTAAACAGTGGTACTTTTGGATTTTTTCCGTATTCCTCTATGGTAAAAATACGGCGATTGCATGTTTGGTTAGGTATGGCTCGATTCGTTGGGTATATGATCCAATTGTTATGATTTATATGAGTGTTTGGTCGGATTCAAATGAACTTGCATGCAATTTTAATGATTTTGGGTTTGGGTTTGTTTTAATTGAAATCATGCAATTTGTATTAACTCATTTGGAGTAGACCCAAATAAATTTATTTGGGTCCAAATAACTGTACACACAAAAAAGACAATTCTCATTAACTATCTTCAAACGAGTTACACATTTAATGTAGGTATATCCACTATTATATTTGTTTCATAATAAAAAATAGAGTTAATATATTTGTATGGCCTAAACTTTGACCATAATAAACATCCTCGCCAATCTTTTCGTTCTATAACATTCTAGTCCAAAATATACATTGAAATAACGAAATTGGCCAATCCCAACTTGGACGGTCAAACGTGTTGACTAACGGTAAACGAGCCACGTCACTGCCAAGTCAGCAACTTTCAATTTTTTTTTTTTATAATTACCACCTATTATCATTTTCCTATTTTCATTTTGAACAAAGAAAGATGCATTTTACTTTTCGGGGACCAGCTGCTTACCCTACCTTATCCACATCCTTAACCCCTCCACAAAAATCACCGGTCGCCCCTCACTTTCTCTTTCCTTCACCGTCGAAGTCGATTTCGTCCCTCATCCGATGAAAATGCAACGGTGGGCGTTCTTCTAAGCTCGCCGCTGCCGCCATCGATTTCCACCCTTCTCCCTTCTACTCTCGAGCGAAGAGTTCGTGAGGTCAGTTTTCACCTCCTCCTAATGATTTCTGCTTCTCTGAATTGAATCGATGTACGTCGACAGGACCACATTCCAAAGGGACCACAGCCGCCAGATCGTGGTTTCCACCAGCAACATAAGCAATCATTTTTTGCCCATTTCTTTTCTTTTTTAATCCTTGATACATACAAGGATTAGGGGTTTTCAAGTAAAGTAATGCTAGTGACCAGCATTTGTCGGGTTCAGAGCTGGAAATTGAGATTAAAGTAAAGATTTTCCTTTGTCTTTGTCGGGTTAAGTGAGTTAAAGAATGATAAATCAAATGCGTGTGAAAATTTTGTTTGTCTTTGCTAGAATAGACGACATTATTTAGCTTATTATGTATCATGGAGGCGCAATGGATATGCCGGGGGATGTTCAACAATACGTTGGGGGGGGGTGTCGATGTCGTGAATGTGAATTGGGATGTCTTGTCCTACTTCGAATTGACGAAGACTATGGTTGAGGATTTGGAGTATATTTCCATCGAGAAACTATGGTACTTGACACCTGGGGAAAGTATGGCTACTGGATTGCATGAAAGGGTGTACTTTGAGGCAACAAGGGATCTTGGTGAGCTGGGTTATATGGGAGACAATTATGGCCATTTTCCTGAAGGGGAAGATGCATATGGAGACAATTCAGCTGCACCTGAATTTGCTCGGCTAGACGAAGATGATGCCCAGACATCTGACTAGGAGTACCATGAAATAGAGTTGATGCTCGGAGAAAAAGTAGAAGATTTAGAGCAGAGCTTGATGGTGAAGGAAGTTCAGTGAATCAATTATTTGCATGGGATGTCAACCATCATGCTGATGTGGCTTCAGATAGTGCTAGCATTGAGGGTGGATCGGTAGCGGAGACTATGGAGCTTGATGAGAGTTTGGAGATTGAGGACAACATTGTTAAGAGTGAGGAACAGAGGAACGTGGATCAGGAGATCAATGCTGAAGGATCAGTTGATACGGAGTATAGGGCCTCTGAAGATTCTGCTCATGTTAGAGGGATTATTGTTGAAGATGAAGGTGCTACAAGTTTCGACAAGAGCTTGTGTTATGATCCCAACTGTGATCATATCACATTGAAGTTCAAACACATATGCGGTTTATATCTCCTGCTCATTTTAAAGATGTTGCTGTGAAGAGTGCAATTCAAAATGGAGCGGATATTAGATAGATTAGGAGTAGTGAATTGAGGAAGGAGGTTGTGTGTGGCCAAAGGGATGAGTATGGTTGCAAATGGAGGGTTATGGTAGTTGGTTTCATGGACAAGAAACATTCATGGTGAAAGCTTTTGGACCAGACCATAGTTGCCCAATAGCGATTCGGATTCGTGCGGCAGGTTACAAGTGGATCGCATCTGAGTACCTCTAGGTTTTTTGGGTAAATCAAGCATGGAATGTCAACTTAATAGATGTTGAATTGAAGATCAAGCAAATTCTTTATGTGTCCAACCAAATTTGTTATAAGGCACGTTTGGAGGCTCGACGACGGCTTTACGGGTCACTTACTGAGGATTTTCACAAACTCAGGGACTATGTTGGTCATTTTCTCTGAGTTAACCGTAGAGGGGCATTCCTCCACGAAGTTGACATTGTGTCTGACTCAGATAAGGTCTATTTCAAGCGGCTATTCTTTGGTTTCTCTAGCTTGACTCAGAGTTTCTTGGAAGGGTGCAGCCCTTTCTTTTGTCTGGATGGCTGCTTCTTTAAATGGGAAGTTCAGGGAATGTTACTCTCGGATGTTGGAAAGGACGTAACAACCATATGTTCCCAATCGCGTGGGTAATCATCGAATCGGAGAGTTCTTGGACATGCTTCAATAAAGCATTGCAAGACCTACTTCGGATCGAAGATGGTGGCGAATGGACAATCATGTCTAACCAACAAAAGCTATGAATTCCTACTTGGTTAATAAACCATTAAAGCATTTGAATTGCAAGCTGGCTTTCTTTGTACTTACTATGTAATTTGCAAGGGCTAGTCGAAGAGCTAAATGACTGCATGCCTTCTGTAGAACATCGAAAGTGTGTTCGTCATGTCCACGCACATTTCAGAGAAAAACACAAGTTAAATATGGCTTCTGATTTATACTAGGAGGCGGTGTATCCATTAAATGAACCTGATTGGAGGGCTGATGTTGATAAATTGAAAGAACTTGGAGGATCCGAGTATACAGACTTCATGGCCATGGAACCAGAAAGGTTTTGTAGAGTGTTCATGCAGACCTACTCCAAAAGTGATTCCGTAGAGAGCAACATTTGTGAGTCTTTCAACAACTGGATCTTGTGGTTTACGAGTTTGAGACCAATTGCAATGTTGGAGGGCATTCGAGTGGCTGTCATGACACGAATTGTCAAGAATCGAAGAATGATGGAGTGAAAGAGGGATAAATTACCACCAGTAGTTAGGGGTAAACTTGAGAAGGCCAAGCATTTGGACCACTGTGCACCAGCCTCCCTTTTACAGAAGCTAAACATGAGGTATCCATAGGAGACAAGGGTTTTGTAGTTAACATGAAGAAGGGTAGCTGCACCTGCGGATTCTGGTTGCACAATGAAATACCATGCTGCCATGCCTTTGCTTCCATCACCTGCTTGAGAGAGAAACCAGACGATTTCGTGGATGATTTCTTCTTGATGTATCGAGTAAAACGTGCATGCATGCACCCTATCCCACCATCAGAAGGTTGTCAAGCATGGCTTCGAGTGGAAGGATACAAGGTGTACCCACCATGGATACGTCAAATGCGTGAACGTTCAAAAACTAAAAGGAAGAGGGAGGCATGGGAGGTAACTAGGAAACCTTCAAAAGATGGACATAGGGAAGTTGGTACTCGACACAACCTTGATATCCACTGCACCACCTCTGGAAATGATGGTCACAACAAAAGGACCTGCAAGAATGCAACAAAGACAAAATTATTTCCAAAGAGAAAGGCCACAACAGGACCTCCAAAGAAGAAGGGAAAAGCAACAACTGACCAAAGAACATCCAACGAGGTAAGCGCATTTTAACTTCAGCTTGTTACAACTTCAGCTTGTCATTATTTTTGTTGATAATACACGAAGCTGTTTGTAACTTGAGCTTGTTACAACTTCAGCCAAACAAAGGAAGAAGAACATATGCTCAAAGTGTGGGTCGGAGCATCACAATGCTAGAAGATGTCCTATGAAGGTTGGTATTCAGGTATAGTGTGAATGGTGTTTGAGTCCCGCGTGAATGGTGTTTTAATGGAAGTTTCTACTCGACACAACCATGTCCATATGTATGATCCCAACTGTGAATGGTGTTTGAATTTGATATAGTGTGAATGTTTGAGCCTGGTGTTTGAGAGTGAGTTTGGATTGATGTAGTGTGAATGTTTGGACTGTGTAGGCTCCTCATGTCGGCTAATCTCGTAGAAATGTAACAGATAGGGAAATGAGAATGGCAACAGAAGGAATTGGAACCTATATTGATGAGAACACTGACAACATGTATGCTAGGGTAAGGCTAATTCTTTGCTTATAATGCCACTTTATATTTTTTAGTTGGTGAGGCTAATTCTTTGTTTTTTGGCAGCTAAGTATGAGGGTTCCAGAGGGTGTTGGAGGTGTGAAAGCCACTGCACCAGAATGTCCTGTTGTAGGTGCTACACAGCTGCCTACTACTCAGCCTGAGACACCCTATGGAATCTAGAAGAAAGTTTGGTAGCTTAGGTTTTAGGAATGCTTCACACTTTTGTAATTTGTACATGGTTGCATATGGTAGCACATGTTTCGGATTATGTACTCTAGTCTGAATGTGGAGTAGTAGGAACCTATTTTGTACATGCTATGACATATTAGCAGGATTCTGATTTATGTTAGGTACTCAGAATTCATACTTATGTTAGCAGTAGAAAGCTTCGAGTCACTTTTTGGCCAGGTACTCAGAATCCATACTTAGGTTAACTGGATTCTGCCCTATTCTGTACATGTTAGGACATGTTAACATGATGGTGATATATGTATATGGTTCACAAGGTTTGGTGAATGCAAGTATGGTTGATGTTGATGTATACTAGATCGGTTTAAATTGATCAATTTTATTTAACACAAAATCTCCATTACATACGAACAAAAAAACACACAATTACAATCTTGCATTTTTATTCAACATAAAATCTTCAGAACATAAGAACCAGTCCACACACAATTACAACAATGACCACGAATAGCACACAAAAACAACATAAAATCATCCACTTTTAAAGGGCATAAATCGTATGTCTCATCTTTTGTAGTTCGACACAACTTGCAGCATTGAGTTCAGCAATTTTGGTAAAGTCTTCTAAAATCGCATCCTTCTATTCCTTTTGTTTCCTATCCTTCTCTTCTACTTTATGAACGTAACACAGCCTTCTAGCGCTTCCATATCACCAAGCTTCAACTTCAGTTCATGATTCTCTTTCATCAATCCATCAACCATCGAGTCACTCACAGGCTCATCATCAACCTATCGGAAAATCGACAATTCTTTTTGTGATCCTACAGAAGAAGAAGAGGTGAATCATGGTTGCGTTGGTCGAAAACAAAGATTTGATCAGAGATTTCGACCTACCTTTCAATATGGACAAGAGTAGAACATTCTTCCAGGATTCAAGCTAGTGCGAGATGTATTCATCACAGAAAAGGGGCTTTGTGCACTTTACATCGAATCATGGTTGTGTTGGTCGAACGGGAAGAGATGGAACCTTCATCGGGGTTTTTCCCGGATCTCCTCGACATGTCTCTTTCTGCACGCAAAGTAGGTTGGTGGTCAAACCTTTGACGGCGACACTGAGTTTTTCTGTCGTTCCCTACAATTTCGTTGCCGGCCGACGCGATGGGGAATGAGAAGTGAGGAGACAAATTGGGGGGGTGAATGAGGTTAGGGCATCGGGTCTGTTGGGAGATATACCCGAAAAGTAAATTGCATTTTTTTCAAAATGATAATAGGTGGAAATTAATACAAAAATTTAATTGAAGGTTGCTGACTTGACATTGACGTGGTTCTTTGACCGTTAGTCAATGCGTTTTGACCGTCCAAGTTAACGGTCAAACATCGGGTTTGGCCAATTTCGTTATTTTGATGTATAGTTTGGGCCAAGATGTTATAGATCAAAAAGATTGGTCATGATGTTTATTATGGTCAAAGTTCGGGCCATACAAATATATTGACCCTAAAAATAAGACAAATTTTACATTAAATCTGGTTATGCCAATTTCTAAACTGTCCCGCGCGACCTGGCCAGCTCTGACCTGTTTGTGACGGGTATTACCCGACACGCAGTAGCGTGGGGCTGGATATGGGTTTGCTTCCGACCCACATGTCCTGCCCAGTTCTCGACTTGTGATATCGTATTTGTACCAATATATATGGATTTCTTCCCTTTTAACTTTTCAAAAATCATATTTTTATCCCAACAATTTTAAGATTCTATTTTTGAACTATTTAGACTGGATTATTCAACCATATAAAAAAATTTCTTCCATTTATCAAGTATGTTCTTTATATGTTCTTGTAAAAGAGTTAATTATTTAACTTTCTTTTTTCAAATAACATATAAGAATAGGTCACACTGTCTTGCACCGTATCTGTGTCGGCATTACCAGACCCGACCCGCCCTTAGTACATGGCGGGTATGAGTATTGACTATTGAGGTATCCCTGCCCTATCGCCATCACTAATTAAAATTGAATATCCATTTTCTTGTAGACACCAAATACTAAAATCCAATTTAGTTTAGGGATGGCAAATATGACCCAATATTTGGGTATTTTCCAAACGACCAAACCTAACTTATTATGGGTAATATCAAGTTTGGATAATTTTACTTTTTGGGCATACTCATATCCAATTTTTTAGTTTGAATCTAAATTGAACTCATAGATTAGTAGCAAAAAAGAAGATATGTACCAAGTTATAGTGCATTTTTTAATATCAAGCAAATAAAAAGGCGGAAACCCTTATATTAAAAATGTATAATTAGGTTGAAGGTAGTTAATGAAATGATTAATATTATTTTTTGTGTACAATCATCTAGACCTACATAGAACTTTTTAGGTTTAAACCCAAATGAATTGATCCAAATATGACCAAATTCAAACTTAAACTCAAACCCTTTAAAAGTAGATATGATTCATTTAGGTTGAACCCAATACCTTCTTGAGTTATGCCAACTGAGTCAAATTACCAATACATTGAATCATTGCCATGTCTATTATAGATCCAAACTAAAAATCAGGTATAAGGCTACCTCAAAAGTAAAATCACTCTAACCTAACCTGATTTATCTCATAGTAAATTAGGTTTTGGAAAAACTCAATATAAAGTCTTTTTTTCCATCCCTGCGTCTGGTGACTTGTATTAGTAATTTATTTCATATTTGCCGATAACCAAAATCATTCTTATTCATATGTCATCACTGAACTTAAACTTTTATTTTATTATTGGTCACTCTCCGTCTAATTTTTTGAAATTTCTCTTAGATGAAAATCAATACTAATAAAATATATAATTGATATAAATATAAAACAATTCCTAACCATAAAATTTGAAATATCAAATCACTAATGAAGGGGTCTGTTGGGGGTGTTGCTAAGGGGCTCCCCGCAGAGACTAAGGAATACCGCGTTCAATCGACAACGTATGACGCTCTAAACCCGCTACGAGTATATAAAGGTATGAAACCCACCAAGGAGGGGGACTTCTTCCCTCTCTCCCCACTTTACACTTTCTACTATCTCTCTACACTTCATCTCTCTATCTACTCTCTCAACTCTCTCCATAAACCGACACTAACTTGATCGTCGGAGCTTAATCCGGGGGGCAACCCCGGCTCTTTCACAGGTGCCTCTCTCTCCCGACGAGATCGGACGAACGGACGACGAGTCAACCCACACCAACAAATATTATTGTTTGATCGTCGGAGCTAGATGGGTCAAACAATTGGCGCCCACCGTGGGGCTGACTTCACACTGGTTTCTCCGATTTCCGAAGGAGAGAGAGGTCTTAATGGTATTCGATTTCTAGCTATAGGCAGAGAGATCGATCGCAGCAACCCAAAAGACCCCAATTCCTCCCAAAACCTTGAGCTAGACAGCTCCCACCACCACCATCTCCCGCCCCAAAATCCTCGCCGACTTGAATTCCCTTTCCATTCCTGGTCTGGTCTTCGATCAATCTTATTCTTCCACTCTACTTTCCTTTCCCCCAGAATTCCTTTCTCTTTCCTCATACCAATAATCACCTTTTCCACTTATTCCCCTTTTCGGCTTTGTTGATCGCTTCGATCTTCTTTCTTCGTTCATACCAAAAAAAAAAAAAAATAAAAAAATAAAAAAATAATAAGGGTTTGCGTCGAAGCTCAGACGAAAAGAAAGGAAGAAACAGTGGCTATCCTGTCACTATCACCACCATTTCAGCCTACTCCACTGCTCACCTACAGTACATAACACATAGTCAAGAAAAAGTGACAGCCTTCTCTGAGCTGTCTTTTCTCTCTGTCAAGGAAACACTGACCAACGGGGCTACCGAGGCAAACAAGCAAAGTTATCGTGAAGACAGCTGGGTTCAAGGCCCATTAACGCGCCCCTGGCCCACGCCAGCAACTTTGCGCCCCGCATCGCTAGCGCGGCCCACATGCTCCGCCCCAGCTCCCGCGTACTACCTCCGGCCCGCGCACGTGCTACATCGGGCCCGCCCCAATTCGAGGGCCGCCACCGCGTCGCCCTGCCTCGCGCCCCGCTCACTTGCCGAGGCCCACTTTGCCAACACTCGACGCACGCAAGCCCGACTCACCAGCCCGGCCCAACTCGCGTCTCGCGACTCTCGCCCCGCTTCAAAAATAAAGTCGGCGCGATGCCTCGAACCCGCGCCACTCCTATGCCAGACAAGCGACATTACCAACAGTCTACATACACTCTGTCATTCATAGGCGCAGCGCTCTTCTTTTAACAATGTTCCGCGCGTACCGCCTCATCAACGGATCAGCCCACTCGCGGCCCGCTCTATCCTTCAGCTCGCGTCTCTGGGCCACCTTCCGCCTCAAGCCCACCCGCGGCCCGCTCCACCTTCAGCTGCGTCTCTGGGCCACCTTCCGCCTCAAGCCCACGCCTCAACCACCACTCGCGGCCCACTTATGCGTCCCAGAAGAAGCTCATAAAAAATGTCGCCGCCAAGAGGAATCGAACCCGCGTTCACTCTTCAGCCAGACAAGCCATATCACCAACAGACTACAGATGCGCTTGGTGATCCTTGGGCGCAGTACTCTCATATTAAGGAACCCGCGCCATCACCAACTCGCGTCAAAAAGCATCATCATCGCGAGGACTCGAACCCGTGCCATCACTCCACTACACAAGCATCCTTACCAGCAGGCTACACGCACACCTTGTGTGTCAATGGCGCGCGGCCAACTTAAAACCTCCTGCACCCTTGCTCGCGCCCAAGCGCACTCGCGGCCCATCCCAACTCAACCCGCGTCCACAAGCGCAATGCACCCTTGCTCGCGCCCAAGCGCACTCGCGGCCCGCATTCAACAGGCGCACTACTTAAAAATAATGTAGTCGTCGCCAGACTTCGAACCCGCGCCACTCCTCCGACAGGCAAGCATCCTTACCAGCAGGCCACAAGTACCTTGTGTTTCAACGGTGTGGCGTCTGAATTTTAACATTCGCGCCCAATCAGTTCGAAAGAACAAAAAATTAGTATGAGTCCAGCACTCTGCGCTCAGTTCCACGGAACAAAACTTAGCAATAGTCCAGCACTATTCGCGCCCAATCAGTTCGAAAGAACAAAAAAATTAGTATGAGTCCAGCACTCTGCGCTCAGTTCCACGGAACAAAACTTAGCAATAGTCCAGCACTATTCGCGCCCAATCAGTTCGAAAGAACAAAAAAAAAAAAAAAAAAAAAAAAAAAAAAAAAAATTAGTATGAGTCCAGCACTCTGCGCTCAGTTCCACGGAACAAAAATTAGCAATAGTCCAGCACTATTCGCGCCCAGTTCCACGGAACAAAAAATTAGCAATAGTCCAGCACTATTCGCGCCCGGTTCGAAAGAACAACCTGCAGGCTACCACTCAGGTTCTGTTTCAACGGCGCAGCACCCGCCCTTCAACTACTCCTGCCGCCACTGCCAATATAAAGCTAAGTACTCTATCCCTCCATCATTATTAAATTTTTAAAATATTTTACTATCCTAAGCGTTAATGGCGCTAATGGGGGGCAAGACGCAAGAAGCTGGCACCGCGTCACTCAAACGCGCCACCAGCTGGGGGGCAACTGGGGTACATAGGCCCCACCCAAAATTACCGACAAAGATTTAAAAAAATAAAATATAAGCTAGTGATGAGTTAAAACTCACCACCAGCTTGGGGGGCAATTGTTGGGGGTGTTGCTAAGGGGCTCCCCGCAGAGACTAAGGAATACCGCGTTCAATCGACAACGTATGACGCTCTAAACCCGCTACGAGTATATAAAGGTATGAAACCCACCAAGGAGGGGGACTTCTTCCCTCTCTCCCCACTTTACACTTTCTACTATCTCTCTACACTTCATCTCTCTATCTACTCTCTCAACTCTCTCCATAAACCGACACTAACTTGATCGTCGGAGCTTAATCCGGGGGGCAAACCCCGGCTCTTTCACAGGTGCCTCACTCTCCCGACGAGATCGGACGAACGGACGACGAGTCAACCCACACCAACAAATATTATTGTTTGATCGTCGGAGCTAGATGGGTCAAACAGGGTCATTTGGTTTGGTAATACTTAAATCAATGCATTGTGATCAATGAATGTATTGTAATATACATGCAATTAAGGAAAATTATATAATGTACTTTACATTGTTTTAGTTATAATTGTTTTAGTATGCAGCTGAGGCATCAGGCATCCTAACATACCGGCCGACAGACTTTAACCTTGTTCTCAAAACTATCTTAACAATCTCAAATTTTAGTAGACTATCACTCATTTTGAGTGATAGTAAATGGGTGATAGTTTCCATCAATTCACATTGCACACATTATAACAATCTCAACTAAAACTATTATCGAAACCAAACAAGCTCGAAATTCTATACACAAATATACAATTTCCCAATGTACCTTCTCATCAAGAACCCTAGGACAAAACTCTGAAATCATTTTAAATGTATTCTTTGGCTTGCCTTTTTGGTTGTGAAATACCAGTTGCCGGGGGATGGGGGAATAGTAGCAGATGGATGTATAATTTCCCTGAGATATGATGATGAGCTGCCTGCCTCTGCCTGGGCTGGTTTTTTTGTCTCTACTTGTAACTTGTAAGTATTTTGTTCGATATCATCATCATCATCGACTGGCATTGCATTGGTGTTCTTCCTCCCCTGTCTTATTTACCATCTCTTCTCTTACAACAACAAATGCTTAATAATAACATCAAGAGTCTCTACTTAGTACTTAGCACCAAGTCATGCCTAGTGTTTTAAGAAAGCGTGAGGAATAATGCAAGCGTTGAGTCTGTCCTGTTTCAAGAAAATGTTAGGAATAAGGTGAGCATTGAGTCTCTGCTTAGCACCTAGCATGTCTATGAATGCCTAAACATTTGGAAGTAAATGTGTATATAAAAAAAATATCTCACAATCACAAATTTATCAATCAATATCATCGCGGTCTACCTCACCTTTCTAAACCATCATCAATAACAAATGCTAAAATATAAAACGTAGTGTTAGCATGTCTATGAATGTCTAAGCATTTGGAAGTAAATGTGTATATAAAAAAATATCTCATAATCACAAATTTATCAATCAATATCATCGCGGTCTACCTCACCTTTCTAAACCCTCATCAATAACAAATGCTAAAATATAAAACATAGTGTTGAGAAAATGAAACAATAAGAAGAAGTGGCAAAATAGCAGAGCAAACTGAGATAGAAGAAGCGCAAAAGAGAAAAAGAAGCTAGAAACTAGCAACACTCGGTAGGAAAAGAAGAAAATGAGAGGACGATTTTGATTTCTCTCTAACCTAATAGCATATCAAGTGGTAGAAAGGAGACACCGTAACATTATTTTGAGACACTACTCAATGCTGACTAGGGGTCGTCGAGACCAATAACACGCTCGAGACGCCTAGTCCACTGCTTATAACCAATTAGACAAGTCGTTTTCCTTCTGTCTAACGCCTAGACGCGCCTTTTAGAACCATGCTTAATACCAATTGTACATACAGTAGAAGGGGCAGGCCATGGCCATGGTGGCATCATTGCTTTAGTTTGAAAACTTTTGTTGTTAGGGGATTTTATTTTCTGCCAAAGAATCAGAATTTTTATGGGGTCAGTGATGAATATATTTTGGAATCGCATATGACTTCTTGCTATTAATGAACTTTGTTCTTCTTCTTCTTACTCCTTTTCCTTTTCATTTATTGTCCCTCTTCTGGTTCTGTACCCTCCATCTGCATTCTGCAATTTGCCTGTGATGGGAATCATTCCGTTTGTGCAGGAATTCCCATCATTCCCCTTTTCTTTTTTGCCCCCTCCACGCCTTTTTTATTGCATCAATTGCATAAGCCCTCACCAAATGTCAATTTCTTACAAGATTATCGTATAATATGTTGCTTTATTATGTGTTTCTATCAAACATATTTTTTACTATTTTGTACATCAAATATGCATATGTAATTTGAAAATTTTATAAAAATGTTAGTATTACCCCTTCACTTATTTCTCTAAGTCTCGTTATTATAAAATTATTAGATGCTAACTGCTCATCTCCATTTATTGGGTCGGGGAAGAGTGATTGGGTTGATTTTAAACAATGTGAATCTATAGAATTGAGTCGAATAGTATACTTTTCTTTTCCTCAATAACAAATGTGAATTGTTTATGGGGATTGATGGTCGTCGCCCTAAACAATGTTATTCGACGCCTTACTCTTAATCAGTTTACCCTAATGTCCCTGGTTTATTTTTTGTCTTACAAACACAAACCATCAAACAAATACACAGAACCCTCGCCAAAACACCCTTTACTCGTCGCCGAAATCCAGCGACCTCACCGGAGTGTACACTCGTCGTCGTCACGACCTCATGGAGAAGGGAAGGGTAAATGGTCTCCGTTTCTACTATTAGGGGTGATGGGAAATGGTCTTCGTTTCTTCTGCTTGTAGTTGGGAAGCAAGTAGAGTATATATGTAATTGGTTTCTACTCAATAAAATTATCAATTTTGCTTGGTTAATTTTACAACAGGCGGCACAAGAAGCAGCAACGACGGATGAGGGTGGGGGGATTGGGTTGATATGGAATGGAGAGGTGGCGGGGAGCAGAATCCGCCGGAAGCTGCGACGGGTAGTGGGGTTGGCGGCGGAATTTTTTCTCTCAAGAGGTGGCGGTCGGGTTTGGAGTGGAGAGGGACTAGCCACTAGGAATTGTTTGTTTAAATTTTAGGGCGACAAATAGCGATTCAGTTGTTTATCTCTATTTTGAGTTATTTGAAAATTACTCATGTTTCAAATAACTCATTTCGATAGTGTTGCCAAATTTATTATTTTGATCGAAATAACTCACCAAAAACCTTGTTCAAACAAAACAATCCCTAATTTAATTGGAATTAATGTGTTTTTTTTAAGATCGAATAGTAATTTGAGATCCCAAAGTATTGTGGTCGGACCGACTATTGCTGCTCCGGCCAGCTGCATGCAGGAATGGAATAATGACCTTATTTATTTATGGCCACTTTCCTATTCATTTCATTCTGTGTGTTTCTCATTTAATTTACAGAATATATAAAATTCATTCTGCATTAATTTTTTCAGCATTAGATAGTGCCAATAAATAAATACACAGAAGCATGAGTGGAACGTACATTCCAGTTTCAGCCTCATTGAACTACTGCATTGAAAGCAATGTATTGGAGTAGAAGTAGTAAGTATTGTTCGAGAGAAGAAGACAAACACTGTAGTTATCATGTTTCACGGTTTGTTCTTTATGCTCGTGCATATGTATTACATAAAAATGGCGGAACAAATATGTGTAGTGGCCGCAAGGTTGTCAAACCGGTTTATGCCAGTGTGCCGGTTTAGCAAGTGGAATGGTTCAACCGGTGGCACATACCGGTTTGTGCCGGTTCATGCCGGTCAATATTACAAATAAAATTATAAATACTCATATTTAAACATGACATTTAACATTAATACCTAAACATTTATACTTGAATCCAACAAATAACATCAATATGTAACTTTTATACTCATAAAATAAATAATAAAATAATTTTTATCAATTAAATTCTCTAAATTAAGGTCATTTTACTTAGAGATTCGTATATCGATCATGCCGGTCATACCGGTGGTGTCACGCCGGTTTTATGACCGGTACCGGTTGAACCCGGTACAACCAGTGGCACGCCGGCAGGCGTGACAACCAAGTGGGATTGGTTGTAACTCTCCCTTCTCTTTAAAGTGGTCATGGTTCAAATCACCATAAGTATCCTTTTGTGATAATAAAATGGCGGAAATTTCGGAATGAATGAATTAGTGGTCTGACCAGTTATTCGAGAGAAGAGATAAATGGTGTAAATCACAAATAAGTTATACATCCTTCTGGTCGAGGGATTTCTACCCACGAGTGAGATTATAAATTGAAATGATGTTTAGACTTGTTTTCCTCTTAAACTAATGAAATGTTGATTACTATCTCCATGCAAAGGTGCAAAGTTGTGATGAGGGCTGAAATCCTTGTTAATACCAAATGACTCATACAAATGATCTCCACAAATACACATTCACTTATAATCTTCATTGTCGACACTTGATAAGAAAGTGTGTCTAAATAGTTCGAAAGAACGTGAATCTTCCACCTCTGAAAAGAAATAACCGGTGCTCGATCGAGTGGTAACTGGGCAGAGATTCTCTACCATGAGATTTTCAGATAATCAAATTAAGAACCACCCATCATGAAGTTATTTCTATTGGAAATTTTTACGATTTTCAGTACAACAAATCGTTTTCCCTGTGTGCGCGCGGTAAAAAAAATATTTACTGCTAGGTGCACTACACACATGACATCTCATGATGTAGAGAGAGAGAGAGTGTGGATCTACAAAGGTCAAAGCAAAAGAGGAGCAGGCAGCAGGCAGTTGGGTTGGCATTTCAATTGGCAGTCGAAAATTGTGCATTAATTGGACGTTGTGTTATTTGGCTATTGCAATGGCCTAGCCAGCCAGCCAGCCAGCCAAATCCAGAGGCAGAGGTAATCATTATTCTTCGCTCTGGTCAATACCCAATGCTCGTCCTAATCTCGACAAGTAACAAAGTTGAGAAAAACCTGAACACAGCGGGTAAAAGAACAGGGGAGATAAACTAACCAGCGGACGTGAAAACAGGGCCAATAATCTATTTGGTCCCTTTTCCTTACCTTACCTCCATTATTTAACAAACAAAACCCTATGTCAAATTTTTTTTTTACACATCTATTGACAAGTTTAAGCTTGTCAAGCAACGACCATTTTTATCAATTGAAGTAGCAACGACAACTGGTCGAATTCTGGATGGGTATATTAATATCTATACAATATTATATGGTTAGATCAGGTTCAGGTTTAATATCTAGACTAGGTTCACGAGTACTGGTTGGTAGGGTTGGAAGTTTGGTACCGGCATTTGGGATAATACCGAATACTGTATCGAATTTGTCTATATTTGATATTATCGAATACGCATATTATTTTATAGGATTGAGATTAAAATTAAATTTCAATTATTATTTGGTATTAGGATTACAGGATTGGAATCAGTATATACCAATACCGACCAATATCGAAATATAAACTAGTGTGTATTTCATCTTCTCAACTAGAGGTGACAATTATGATCCAAATCCATGAATCCAATCCAATCCATCCACCAAATTATCCACTTAATCCAATCCATTTGATCCAAATCCAATTGGATTGGTGGATTCATGGATCAATCCATGGATCCAAATGGCAAATTACGATTTGGTACCTATACTTTTTATATTTTACATTTTGGTACCTAAAATTTATATTTTTATATGAAAAAATCATTGGAAAATTACATTTTGGTACCTAAAATTTTTCATTATGACATTTTAGTACCTAAACTTTTCAAAATTTACATTTTGGTCCAAGCCTTGGATGCCATTTGGATTCATGGATCAATCCACAAATCCATTGGATTCAATCCATGAATCCACCAATCCATTGGATCAAATCCATTGATCCATGGATCCACCAATCCAATCCATGAATCCGATCCAATTGCCACCTCTATTCTCAACTAGACTCTCTCATTCGCTACTACGCGACCATCAACCACCAAGAGTGTCATTTAATGATACATAGATCATTCCATCACTATTTCACACTAGTATTAGTCGTCTCTCAACCTCCAATTCGTCAAATTAAAGGTTACCAATTACAAGAACTTGAGATGTTAGCTCTAGGCAACTCAAGGCTCTTTGCCCTAAATTACAATAAAATCTAATTTATATATTTAATTATTAATGGCAAATGTAATTTATTTTGTATTCGATAATACCGATTGGAATACCGATGTACTGATTGAGATACCAGAATATTTAGGGATTGAGATTGATTTATGGTGTAATTCGGTATTTGGTATTGGGATACTGATACCTTATAAATTTCCACCCCTACTTGTTAATGCATGTGACCTTATTAAGGACTAGTACTTAAAAACTTATAGCTATATTACATTTTAAGTATATTGCAAAAACTTTAAGTATAAGTAATTTGATTAAACATCATATAGAGCAAAACACTACATATCAGTTTAGAATAGGGATGTCAACAAAACCCGAATCCACGGGTACCTACTCGGTTAACATGGGTAAAACCCATGTTGACGGGTTTTGGGTTTAAACCCGTTCACTATTCACCGGATTGAGTTGGGTTTGAGTTTAGGTATACTCATCCTATGGATACCCGCTCACACCCATATAATTAATTTTCCCGATATATTTAATATTCTAAGTAACTAATCTTCTTTATGTTTGTGGAGACAAGTGTAATTTTTTCTTTGGGCTATGTCTATTTTTTATCCAAACCTTTTTCAGATTCTTTTATATTATCCAAACCTATCGAAATACTAAGGATTAGTGAAATGTTAACTTTCAGTTAGCGATTTTGTTAGTAATATTGATTTGACAATATGATACCGACTTGGAAGAGACACATGAAGGTCAACATTCCAAAATTTTCTTATTTTAACTAAGAAAAGAATTACAAAATTATTAATGATAACGTAAAAATGGCTAAAATTTTGATGCATTACGAAAGATTTGGATAATTAACAGCATTTTAATAGGTTTGGATAATATAAAAGAATCTGAGAAGATTTGGATAAAAAATAGACATTACCCTTTTTTCTAATTGTGTAGATTGAAGTTGATATTATTGAGTGGAGAGTGCAGAATCTTAATTGACAAGGAGGAAGAAGCTTTCAATTAATCTTGCTGTTATGAATAATTTATGTTTTGCTTCAATTTTCTTGAGTTCTCTAGATTGGTATTGAACAATTTGTATGGTTAATTTGTGATTTGCTTGAATTTTCTAGAATGTTGTTTTATATATTGACAATTTGTATTGAGAGATTGATATTTGACTTTTATTTTGATAAGAACTTGTTATTATAAATTTTTTATGACAAAAACCCATGGATACTTAGCGTGTTGGGTTGAGTTTGAGTTTTCCAAACCCAGTGGGTTCCACCGAATTTTTTTCACGAGTAAACCAATGAGTTTGACTTTGACAAAACCCGACCCATTGCCATCGCTAGATTAGAACATGACAAGACCGAAAAAGTCCATCTTTTCCTTCTCCAAAACATATCGAGTAGAGTGTAAATGTTCGAAATTATCCTCCTCATTATTTGATGTCGATTATGTGAATGTAAATAATGGCAAATGACCAATTCACAAAATAGCCTCACGTACCCCTTAAAAAGTGACCAATTAGTAGGTTGACCAGATAACAATAAAGTAAGCATAGAAAGAAAGGGAACGGGGCGAGAGAAAAGTCCAAAAGCAGGAATTCAGAAAGTGAGAGTAGAAGAAGAAGCAAAAGGGTGGTTTCAGTCTTTCAGAAGAGAGAGATAGGCAGAGGCAGAGGCAGGGTTGGTTCAGAGAGGAGAATTTTACAGCTTCGGCAGTCCTGTCTTTTCCTTTTCTCGTGATCTCCCATCCCATTTCTTCTTTTCCATTAACTTTCTTAGCGAGCTAGCGAGCTACTCTGCCACCACTGTCTATCGAAAGCAAGAAAGAAGTCTACCCCCCTTCTTTTCTTTACACTATAATAACAACAACAAACAACCAAGCCGGCCAGTTTCTCCTTCACCTCCAGCAAAGTGAAGAAGAAGAAGAAGAAGGGAAAGTAATTTTATCCATGGGCAGTTCGTCGTGTGGAACCGCAGGAAGGAATGGAGGAGTGAGGCAGTACATAAGATCGAAGGTGCCTCGCCTCCGGTGGACTCCCGACCTTCATCACTGCTTCCTTCACGCCATCGACCGCCTCGGCGGCCATCATAGTGATTACCCACCTTACTTCTCTTCTCTTTGACGTTTTCTCGCGGTCTCAAGTTTCTCCTCTCTAACGCGCTCGATCGATCTCTCCCCTTTTCAGAGGCGACGCCGAAACTGGTGCTTCAGTTGATGGATGTGAAGGGACTCACCATTTCCCATGTCAAGAGCCATCTCCAGGTTACACCCTCACTCACTTTCCTTTATCTCATTCCTCTTTGTTTCTTTCTAAAGTTTCCAATCTTTATATATATGGGTTTATGGTCACCAGATGTATAGAAGCATTAGGACTGATCAGCTGCCTTCCACCACCAACTCAACCCAAGGTTCATCTCCATCCGTACTTTTTTTTTCTTCTTGCTTTGATTCATCGTTTAATATGTCAACCCATTAGTACTCATCGCTCGTGGTGGTGTTGAAGCAGAAGGAATGGATCCCATCAATGGCGAAGAAGGAACAGAAGAAGTAAAAGAAGGAAGACAACCCAAAAGTGATCAATACTACCAGTTTCTTCTCCCCAGCCCCAAAAGGTCAGCTATATACTTACTAATCTCTCTCCCACCCTTCATTAATAAAATTAGTCACTGAAGACATTTTTAGGGGGGGAAAAAAGGGTGCAATAACATAACAATAGTCCAACAACAGAAACAGACAAAATACAATCGATGCAGCAGTTTTGCAGAAGTAGGCAACTGTGCCATTACTATACAATTCTCCCCCCACCTTCATTCCTTTTGCATCCCCCCCTTTTTTTGATTTTTCACCTCCTGCATTTCCTTGGCAGCATTCCATTTTTCTGCTTCCATACCATTCCCAGTGGTCAAACAGTGATTTCACTTTCACCATTAATGATTTTTTTTTTGCAACTGCAGGGTGAAAGTGGAGAGTTTGAACAGTGGTGGGGAGAAAGGGGGAGACCATGGGAGCATTGTTATGATGGATGGGGAAAGGATTAGGAAGAAGAGGAAGAGGTGGTCATCATGTAATCATCAGATTACTGAGTTCAACAACAACAAGAAGAAGAAGAAGGGAATCTTTTGTGGTACTGTTCCGTACGAATCGCTTGATCTCCTTAACCATCATCATCATCATCATATCCACAATGGAATAATGAACTCAAATCAGCAACAGTACCACATTGGTGGTGGTGGAGGAGGAGGAGGAAGGTTCGGGTGTGGCCAGATGCAGCTTTCTCACCATGCTCCCACTAATGGAGTTAATACAAAGACGACTACAACTCCCCTCCTTCCTCTTCAACCTGTCGAACATGATGTTGGATTTTCTGGTTCTACCCACCACCGGGAAGAATCTCACTTTCTCAAGGTATTCAAATCTCTTGCTCACATTCGTTTAGGTATATATATTTTCATATACAATATGTGGTTAAATCCTTATAAGTGTCAATAGTGCGAGGAGAAATATAGAGAAAGATAAAATCCACTAATAAGAAACTGACATGTGATTGATTAGACTTTTTTTTTATTTATAATCTAGTTTGGAAACAAACATCTTCAGAAAAAAAAAAACAATTATTTTTAGCTTAATTGGTTACCTATACCATTAAAATATTTAATGAGTGATAATGTGCCACATTTTTCTATTCCACAAAAAAAGGTACTATCTTAGTTAAATCACATTTTAGAATAAATAAGTCGTTATTATAATAGTATATGCTGATAATTAATTACATTCTTTCCAATATGTATACCCATCAAACTTTACTTCATAGTATTGAATCCCTCAAGTCAAACAAGGCGTAAGTAGGGAAGGTCTGAAAATTGGGATCCCATCTTGTCGCTTATTGCGGTTCTTTTTAGGCTTATGGGGATCTCTGTAGGAAGCTGCTGCTGGCTGTGTATCTGTGTTGGTTGAGTGTAGTTTTGGGGTTGTTTTTATTTAAGCCTTTGAAGAGAACCCTTTTTTATTTCTTTCTTTGCTTTTCCCTTTTATTGAGCCATATATTATTTGACAGTCTACTACTACTACTACTCGTACTGATATTAGCCTGGGGACTACTCTTGCTTGCTTCTCTCCCATTATTCCATCCCTGCTTCCCACATCACGCCATGGAATAATATCTTTCTTTTCAGTTTTCATCAAGTCAACTTTTTTATTTTTCTTTCTTCTTCTTCTTCTTTTTTGTATAGAACAAAAAATGACAGCATAAAAGCATTTCACCCACCTTCACTTTTTACCTTGAGGAGTCAAAATTTTTATTATGAAAGGACTGGTGATCGGTTTTTGCTGAGATGGTAGATTTGGTTTCTGACCACCGTTAGCTCCCTGGTGTCTCGTCACATCTCATATTTACTTCTACTAATATCAAAGTGGGACGGCAAATGTTCACTTCTCTTTATGTGAAAAGGATTTACCCTTTTTACCTTTTTTTTTTTTTTACTGTTTTGTTGTTTCCCAGAGAGTGTAGAGAGGAATGTAGTGAGAATGTAAAGCATATATTAGTACTCTATATACTCTAGCATATTTGTTGACTTTTGTCTCTTTTCTTCTTTTCGAATGGTATTATTAGGGCAGTAGTATGATGACACTTTCTTGTTTCTTCTTTTACCCAAAACCAAAACGTAGGGATACAGAAAGTTGGAAGCGAAAGTAAAAAGTATAATGTATCTTTATCACCAATTACGGCGTTACCCATTTTCATTCTAAACTTAATACGAATCTCTGTCGTATTTATCGTACAGGTTATGAAAGTGGAGACCGCCGCCGATCTAGTAAACGGAGTAGCCAGCTGGAAATGCAAGGAACTGCCGGAGTTGGCCGCCGGAGGAGCTGGCAGCGGTGATGAGAGAACGGGGGTAGTTGGCCATAGTGACGGCAGTGGTCGGAGTAGTTGCGAGTTGTCGTTGTCGCTGTCATTGCCCGGCGGAGGCAGCGAGGTCGACGGCGGTCTTTCTTCGAGTCTCACTACTTTCTCTTCGCATTACTACTGCTACGATAGTAATTATGGCGGTAGGTTTAAGGACGTATCTTCGTCGTCGTCTTGCTCGAACCCTACCCTCAACCTGGACCTTTCCATTGCTCTATGTGGCACTTAATTAGGTGTTTTTTTTTTTTTTTTTTGCCATTAGATGACTTGGTTGTATTTTCTGTTTCATTGTGATAGTTTGTAGTACATAAATGAAGTATGATTACTATCCTAGTTGTTTTTGGGCTTTGTGTGTGAAGGAAAATGAATTATCTCTCTCGGCCTGGCCTGCTAGGTCCGAGCCCATTAGTTCTCTCTAAGTGATAAAATTCTGCTGGTATTTAACAAAATGGGCCTTTCAAGTGGGCCATGAAACAGATAACATCATCCTTTCAGGTTTCAAGCATGGTCCATGAAACCTTACCGTACCGACGGTTCTACCACAAAATACCAGTATCGGAGGCTAAACCGATAGGCGGTATTTAATGATACAAACGGTTGAACTACGGTTAAACAACGATTTTACCACAAAATGCCATATCGCTGACTTTTCCGGTACGATGTCTAGTACAATTTCATGGACCATGGTTTCAAGTCCCATTACGTTCGGTTATTGATGTAATTTGAGTATCTCGAAGTTTATCTAGACATCTAGAGTAGTAAAGTACTCGGTTTGAGATCGGAAGAATATTGTCGACGATGCTCCGATTGATGGCAAGTACAAACACATATCTTGCTCGGCGAAACTCCCAACCGGCCCCGTCCGATACTATGCTCCGATTTGCTAATCCACCTTCTCTCTCGAAACTTCAAACACCAATATAATCATAAAATAAAATTGATGTAAAGCTAACCGAAAATACAGCATCTCGTCTGATACTATGTTCGGGTTCGCCCATTGGGCTCTGACTTCTACTTTTGGATGGATCGACACAGATTAAATTGGTTATATATGTGGGCATTGGGTTCCCACGACCTGGTCCTTTTCTCGTTTCGTGGGACTGGGCCATTAGACATCTACTGGGCCTTCGAACTCAAAGGAATTGAGCCCAATGCTTCTAGGTAAGTGTATTCATAATTGGGCCTGACATTTCTACCAATAAGGAATGTTGGGTGGAAGACCTACTGGTTTGGCCTTGTATTTATTTCTGTTTGCCTTTCATAGCTGTTTACAACTAAAAATTATTTTTGTATCTTCTATTATTGATGAGCTACAAGGTAATTAAGAATTTTATAAGACCATATTATTTAAATTGTTATTAAGTTGAGCTTTATGGATGTTGATTTTAAGTCCAAGTCACCAAGTAATACTGAGCATGAATATGATTCAATGAGTAATATGGGCCTCTCGTAGGAGGCCCTGACATGTCATGCCACGAGATTGTGTAAAAATAAATTAAGTTTGGAGAGGCACGTGTCGCTTCACGAAGAGGGCCAGTGGCGTAGCCAGGATTTTGGGTAAGAGGGTGCCAATTTAAAAAAATTAAAATGACTATTAAGTTTTTATAGTGACCCACGACGATTTTTCATATTTTGAAAAGTCTGTAAAATACTTTCATCATTTAGACTATCAACAATGTCACTCTCAATGTATCCTACCAAAAAATCATTCATGAGATAATCACTCATTCTACTCCGAAGAGTGCTCTTCACGTAGTTCATTGCCGAAAATACTCTTTCAACACTTGCAGTGGCGACTGGTAGAAGCAATGCTAACTTCACAAGAAGATACATAGATGGAAATCCCAGATGAAGGGTGGGACTGGGTCTGGGAGAAGTCTTGCTTGTTAGGGCTGAAGTTCCGATTATTGCTTGAATAAGGATACAACTATGTATTTTTTAATTTGATTTATTTATTATTTGCAACGGTAAATTAATTATATACATGCAATAAAATGTATTGGTGTATCACATAAGTAATTGTGGTTTAATGGAAGACGCCAAAACTAATAATAAGGGGGTTTCATGTTCAAATCCTAGTTATAGCATAAACTAATACCCCTATTTTTTGATGTCCTAGTTCTAATCCAAGGGTGTGCCATGGCACACCCTAATTATAAGCTATCTCCGCCCCTGAAGAGGGCCATGTTTGTCTAGGATCTAGAAGTACATGTTATATCAACGAGAAGGGCCATGGACGCAAGACAAGAGGCCCTGACATGATTGAAAAATGATAAGTATGAGAAGACCATGTCGTGTCACGAGAATGACCACATAAATGATTGAGAAGTCTATGGCCATGAATAAAGTGGTCATGCCGCCTCATGACAAGACCGAATGACACAAAGTATACTAAGTCTGGGAAGGGCATGCCACCTCACGAGAGAGGCCATGTGCATGATCGAAAGGGCCATGCCGCATCACGAGAGGGGCCCATGGACACGAATGAGAAGGACGTGGTGGTGGAGCATTATTTCACTAGTGACTAAGTCCCTAGAGGGCCATGGACATGAGTAAGAAGTCCATGACCATGAGGCAAGAGGACTATGACCCCTTTGCGAGACACCACATGCTCATCAAAAGACTAGCGTGGCACGTGATCTAGAACAAGAGCATACGAGGCAAGACACACTCCAAGACTCACGACAGTTCCAAGAGAAGCACCTGGGCGGTTGAGGGAGTAACCACCATGTCCGAGGAAGCAGGGAGCGATTCTTTTTGGGAGTTATCAAGAGGCAGTTTCTACGATTGTTATCTCCCAATGACTATAAATAGGAGTAAGGGTCGACAGAGAGAGGGGTTCCCAAAACCACACAACTAATGCCTACATCAAGTTTTTATCCTTTATCTGCTAATGTAGCCATTTTCGTAGTTTGGAGCTCTTACTGAACCTCCATAGGAGTAGGAGTAGTTTAATTTAGATTTGTCCCAAAAAATCATGAATCAAACACCCTCTTTCGAACTTTGTTTGAAGAGGTGTGAGCCGTGTCTTAGTAATCGTTGTCCAAATAAGTCAGAGGTGCAATCAATCTCAATTCAACGCAAGTTTTCTCGCCGGAAAACAATGGGAGACCAGGTACTGACCACCAAGTACATTTATGGGTGGTTTGGATGCAGGATTTTAATTAGAGGGATTTGTGAAGGATTTGGGTCCAAATCCCTCAACTATAAAACCATATTTTTATGATTAAGGATTTGTATTAAATCTCTTGTTTGTTTAGAGATGTGGGTTTTTAATGAAAAAAGTCAAATTTCTATTTTCCCTTTTTGTTCATCTTGTTCTCCGTCGCAAGTAGAACTCCCCTGTTTGTTCTTCGACTCCCCATCATTCTTCAACTCCTTTCTCCGAACACACCCCATTTTCATTAGTCTTCTCCTCCATATGGCATCCTCGAGAGACCATAGACATCCCCGCTTGTAACCGGCGGGTGGATCAGTGATCGGGAATGGGCAAGAAACAAACCCAGAATTTTGCTCCTTTGCCTCCTCCGTCGTCGATTCCCAGAGAACCCGTAAATACTTCTGCTACGAAAAAGGGTTGTGATAAGAAACACTCAATTTTTCGTGCTCCACCCAGACCTACCTCCTGCTGTCCTTCGACCTCTTCTTCTTTCTCTAAAGAACCACAAAATCAAAGCCTATTCCTATGTGTCGTGACCCCATCCAATCCACCAAAGCCAAAAGTGAATCCTCCACAGTCAACTGAACTTGATTTTTAATGGCCATCAATATGGACTTTATATATTCAATTAAGATCCAAAATCATAGATCTGGAATGAAAACAAAAATGTTTGGATTCAGGAACAGACGACCACAACGAGAGGGTGCTTAGGAGCAGCGGGATGGCGACGACAACGAGAACACGCGATGTCGGAGGGTGGGCAAAGTTGCTCCCAGCGAGTTGGCCCGCCAATGAAAATGGGTGAAGAAGACGAAGAGAGTGAATGAAGATGCGATGTCAGAGGAAGAACGCATCAGCTCCTATTGAGGTTGGGCCGCCAGCGAGGTTGTGCCACCGGCGAGCAAGGGTGAAGGTGCTCTGGGCGAGGTTGGGTAGCCGACCAGGATGGGTGATGAAGACGAAATGGTGAGTGAAGGCAACCTAGTTATGCTCCTAACAGGCCATTTTGTTAAGAGATATTGACAGGGTAGGATAGATGGCCACGTCGTCCAGCCGGATCAGACGGTGGAGGAGGATTGACGCCGACTTGTGAGAGGAAGAGAGCCGAGTCCATCGGCTGCCCGAATTCCACTATCCAAAGGGGCCCCACAAATTCAAAAAAATGACTGCCTTTTCTTAGTCTCCTTCTCTCTTCAAATCACTTTGTCAGTTTTCATTCTCTCTCCTCAAAAACTTTTTTGTTTCCTCCTCCCCTTTTCTCTCAATAATCACCAGAACCACTCTCAGACTCTAACGAAGCAGACGACGGCGACTGTGAAAACGACGGCGACGACGGTATCGCGACAAGGAAGAAGTTGTCGGTGACGGTGGCTGTGCTTGAAGGAAGAAGACGACGGTAATCGTGTTTTTCCTCTCTCTCTCTCTCTCTCTCTCTCTCTCTCTCTCGTCTCGTCTCTATTTCATTCTTCACCTTGCTTATTGTGATTCAATCGAGTTTCTGAAGATTGTTCTATTTTTCTTTTGATTTTGTTTCTTGGATTCAGATTTTGTGTTTCAAAGAAATAAGTAGTGTTTGAAGTTAGGGTTTCATGGATTCGACTAGATCTGGGTTTTTCTTTGTTTTTTGTATGAGTTTGATGGATTTGTTTTCTGGTAACTTAGATTTGACTGGATCTGGGTTGCTTTCTTTTGTGGATATGTTTTCTGGGTTTGTGGATGTGACTGGATCTGGGTTTCTTTGTTTGTGGATTTGATTGGATCTGGGTTGCTTTGTTTTCTGGGTTTTGTGGATATGTTTTGTGTGTGTTCCGATATTAGTTCTGTTCGGGCAGGTTATTAGTTTTTAATTGTCTGGATTGTTGTTTGATATACTGGATATTCCTAGATTGATATTGGTTTTGGTCGACCATGATATCATTTGTGAATTGCCTGGATAGTTGTTTGATATATTTGGATTATGTGGATATGTTTACTGGGTTTGTGGATGTGACTGGATCTGGGTTTGGGTTGCTTTGTTTGTGGATTTTGTGGATTTGATTAGATCTGGGTTGTTTTGTTTTCTGGGTTTTGTGGATATGTTTTGTGTGCGTTTCGATATTAGTTCTATTTCGGGCAGGATATCAGTTTTTAATTGCCTGGATAGTTGTTTGATATATCTGGATATTCCTACATTGATATTGGTTTTGGTCAACCATGATATCATTTGTGAATTGCCTGGATAGTTGCTTGATATATTTAGATATGACTTGTTTGATATTATTTCTGATGGTTGGGGTATTCGTTATGTGAAGTCCAGCTGCA